GGTTCTGTGGGAAAAGCCACCACCTTTTGTTCCAATTAGCTGCTACCCAAGACCTGTTATGCACCGGGTGTATACAGTGTGCAAAACCTGCATTTGACCAGGCACAGAGGCACATTGTCCCATCTGTTCGCTGCTCCCCACCCTCAGCTCTTCCATGCCTCTGAGTGGTGATGTCTGGAGATGGTCCTCTGTGGATGCTCTAGGAGAATGGCCGGCATCTGCCTAGGTGAGGACACAGCCTCCAGCCGTTCACACTCCTGGCACTTGCTCTGTGCTCGCAGTGGCTGGCTGGCACGTTCCCTGCATACTGCCTCTATGTACTGCCTCTACGCCTGCTCACTCAGACAAACCCTGGGTCCTGGTGAATGTAAGCTCTAAAAGCTCTCTATTATAAGTGGCAGGTCCTGCACTAGGTCTAGCATCTCCTCCTGCCATGAATGCTCATTTAGACACAAGTCAGGGCGGTGGCAGAGGCTGCGGGGTGTGGATGCCGACGAAATCGTGGGGATCCTTGGTACTCACCTGCTCGGATTCCTGTCTCATCTCAGGGGCAGCGTTGGCCCGGGTCTGAGCAGTGTTCTCAGCTCCCCCCACAAACTTGGCCTGGGTCAGCTTCTTTCTGCGGTCCTTCTTCACGGCCTCGGCCTTCAGCTCGGAGATGCGGGAGTGTTTGGGGGGCCGGAAGGTCTTGGGGGCGTAGGTCTCCTCGGCCACCTCAGCGGTGGTTGGGTCCTCGTGCTCCTGGGATTCTCGATCTGCAGGGAGAAGGAAGCAGAGGGTCAGCTTCTGGGGCCGAGACACAGATGTGCAGAGCCCAAGACTCTGAAGCTGGTGTGAAGAGAGGGGGTCTCTGCCCTCCTGGAGCCTAAATGAGAACCAGGGCATAAGAGTCAGCACTCGTGTACGTGGAGGGCAGTTGCTGGCAGGGCTGGAGTCCCATAGCGCGAATCTAGGAAGACTTTATGGAGTTGGGGGTGTGTTGAAAAAGTCAAACTGATTATCGAGGGAAGTTTGACAGGAGGGAGAGGACATTCTGGGGGCAGGAAAGAGGAAGGGGAGGGAAGTGGCCTTTGGGAGGGCTCAGGCCTGGGCAGGGCTTGCTTATGGGGCTAAGTAGATGGTGCGGTGGCTGGAGGTGTGGCTTTGGTGTGGCACAACCTGGAGATCTTGGCTGTCGGAGGAAATAGGGAGCAACCAGGGCGTGGACAGGAAAGTCCACGTGTACCCGCCTGTGGGGTTTTTATGCTTTCAGAGCTGCTGGACTTGAGCTGCTTGGATTTGGGGAACGGGGGGCAGGGGGGGGTCCTGGGGGTCTGGGCTAGCAGGGGAAGGGAACCTGGGAAGCCAGAGATGTGGGGCTTGGAGGGGAACAGTGCTGGCAGGTCCGGGGAACGCAGAACCCTGAGGCCTCCCTCCCTGCACTGGCTCAGAGCTGGCTCTGTGCTCTGGGCCCTGGATGGGCTGGAACATAACACAGCTCCAGGCCAAGAGAGGCCGACAGCTGGCTGGGCTGGCACAGTTATATATAGGGGTGACTTGGTGACAGTCTATACTTAGCTGACTTATGACCTTTAAAGAAGTAGGACTTTGTTCATTTATTGTTGACCTGTTAATTCCTCCCCCCCCCCGCCCGCAGCCTTTTCTCGGTCCACAGATTTCCAGTTAATTCTTATCTTACAGGCACCCTCCTCTGGGTCCCTGTTTCTCGTCTCAGTTCCTTAACCCCACCAGCCTATGCAGACGGTGGGGGGAGGGGGGCAGGATGTAGTCAAGAGGCCCGGTGCAGGGGGGCCCTATCTTCATTGCCCTCTTGTCAAATTCAGAAAAAGAACAAAGGGCTTTGAGGTGACCCTAAATGACTCAACTTAAGGGCAAGGCACTGCGATGGAAAATAGGAGAGGAATCCGAGCAGGTGGGATGAGGGGAGGAGTTGGGGGAGAGAAGATGGGCGAGAAGGCACTGTTTGTGTCCCCAGGGCAGGAGCTCTCAGCCCAGGGGAAGTTACAGGTGTGTGTTAAGAAAGGCATTTGGAGACTGGGCCAAAGTTGGTCAGGATGGCAGGTGGCAGGAAGCACCTAGGCACCTGTTTGCCTGTTGGCTTGGATTTGTCACATTTAATTGGACAGGAATCCTGTCCTAAAGGCCCTGGCAGGGAAGTTCCCCGCCCGGAAGAAGCCTCCGCAGGTTGGCAGGGCTCTGGGCGGTTAGTTGATTTGGCTACTTATCCCAGGAGAGGAAGAGGACGAGCAGAAAGCAAACAACAAAGACAGGGGCAGACTCTCCCTAAACCAAATTCAACACCAGGATCCCTGCCCCTACTTTTGGCCTTTCAGTCCGACTTCCCACCTCGTCTTGACTTAGTGCTGGAAGTCTACTGTAGCCAAACCCGCTGTGATGATTCATCAACACATGATGCGCCGGGTCGGTGGAATGCAGCCTTCCAGGAATTAGCTGATAGAGTGATGCTCTGGGGTAGACCTACTTTTGTTGGCTGTGGGAGAGCTAGAAAGGGGGTGGGATGCAGAGAGGAGCACTGGTGATTTGGAGGACTCTGTACAAATAGAAAGGCTAGGGCTCTCTTATCTAGTAATTAAGGCCCATGCCTGAGGCTCAGGTCTTAGGGAAAGGTGGGGGGGGGCGCGGGGAGGGAGAGGAAAAGCCTACTACGGCATGGACGGGTCACTGAGCCAGTCTTACTGAGGGACTGGAGACACTTCCTTCAACCTCTCTGGGCAAAACTAAGCATTCTAATCCTCAAAACGCATTTGACCACTGGGGTAGGGGAGAGGGCAAGAGATGCTGCCATTGAAAGGCTGGGGCATTCTGGGGTGTGTGGTGTGTGGTCATGCCCCTTCTCCAATTAAGATTGTAACTAGATGAAGTGAGGGGAGGAGGGAGAGGGGGCTGGGTGCTGACCATGGGAGAGAGATGAGTGTTTCCTTCCGGGCTGCTCTGGCCTGGCCTGGAGGACCGGCAAATTGTCTTCAGGGATACGTGTGGGATACCTGCGAAGCCAAGCTCAGGGGTCGCCTCTCTAATGGGAGAGACCCCAGGAAGCTGCTCGCCTCCAGGGGTTTGGACCAGCACCTGAGATCCTCCCCATAGGCCATCTAGTCTCTTAGTCTTTTCTCTGAAAGTGTTCAAGTTGCTTTGGGCTAAGCAGTGATGACACTGGCAAACAAACTGTATCCACTTTAAGGAGCTCAAAACACTTTTGCAAACCCTCTCTTCTTCCTTCCGCTGGCCTCACCAGGGCGGGCCTCCTGGGAGCACCCTCCCCACAATGCTGGCTCTTTTGCTGCTCTGAAAGGCAGGCTTAGAGCTTTGATGTGCCTCCTGGTTTTGGGTGCCACTTAACCCCATGGGACCTATTACTTAGGCACCGGGAGAGTCGAGTATCAAAGATACTCATCAGGGTCTTGTGGTCACCTGTAGGCTCCAGAGAGACAGTGGAAAGTTGGAGCGGAGCCAGGGCAGCACCAGGGAGATGAAAGGGCTGGAACGCAGACCCAGAGCTGGAATGCCAGAGCCAGCAGGCCCCACTCAGCTGCTTTGAGTCATAAATAGGCTTTCGATTTGGGAAGGCTTTAAGTCTGAGATAAAGCAGGAAGGCACAAGTAGACTAGCAGCTCCTGAGCTATTTCATCAAGAGAAAGCGGACTGAGGTTGTGGAAGGGATTTAGGTGAGATATAAGGAGGACTTCCTGGTGAGGTGGTCCTGTGCCTGAACAGCAAGGAACAGAAGAGGGCAGTGGGTTCTGGAACCTGCTGGACAAACATGTCATTACCTCCACATGGCCAGTAGGTGGCGACGGAGACTGAAGACCACACAGCATGCCTGGGTGCTTATTGCTAGGGACTGTAAGTGATTTTTAAAATCTGGAATTTGTGTGCCTGTTTCTCTGACAACCACCAAACCCTCTCCTTCTCTATGTGGGTCTGCAGCACGTATTTAAAGTGTCAGGGAGTTGGACAAGCGAGGACTGGAGAGGACTCACGGCGGGAGGGTGGAGAAGGCAGGTGTGGGAACTGGAGGGGGAGGGGGGCAAGGCTCTATCTGTGCATAACCCTCAGCTGTTTCTTTCATCTGCAATTGAAAAGTGATCAGGGGAAGAAGTGAGACATATCTGGCACCTCCCTTCCCATCTCTAGATGTCATTTCAAAAGGATTCTGCAGAGGATGGGAGATGTGGAATGCTCAGTATTGTTTCCTTCTCGTTTAGTTCCATGATTTTGCCAATGACAGAGAGAGTGAGAGCTATCATATTGTCCTGATATTTACCTTTGGGGTGGGTTGTGATTCTGCTCTACCCCCAGTCCTGCCAACCAACCAGCTCTCCGATAGCCCAGCCCCTGCCATGTTATGCTGGCCATTGCTACCCACCCACAAGGGTGCAGTAACATTCACAGAGGCACAGACGGGTACATGGGCCCTCCCTGTGCTCACATGAACACCTGTTTGAGGAACACTGTTCTCATGTCCCAGCAAACACAGAGGGTGTCTGGGTGCAGCCTGGCCGCTATGCACCCAGAGGCACCCTAGGGTGGGCAGATCTACCCACAGCACAGGTGCCCAAAGCATACTCCCCATCCAGGCTCCACCACTGTCTCCAATGTGCCCTCTTGCTGCCGCTGTTATCTGGTAGGGACAGGATGCTTTAGCAACATTGACAGGCCTATGTTAAGAAACATTTTCACACCACCCCGCTCCCTGGTTACAGAGATGGATGGGTCCAGCCAGGGACCTGCTGCTCCCTGCAATCTGACCTCCCACCCTGGGGCTCTCAGTCCCTCCCTGGCATCATTAACAGCCAGCTCCCAGGCTGGTGGTAGTTCCCATTCTATCTTAACCTCATAATCTAACTTCAGAGAAAACTGGGTGGCCCAGACCTTGTGACTTCGTTTCGGAAACGGAAGAAACTGAGGCGTACTTGGAATTCACAGCTCAGGAGGAATGTAGGGCCTTGCCAGGCCACCTGGACCTGGAGAGAGGAAAGTCTCTTTTTCCAGCCAGAAGACAAGATGGGTTCGCCCAGAATCTCTCTACGAGGGATGAAAAGGGAGCCGGGTTTCCACTGGCTCTCATCCTGGTTCCCTCTGGAATTTAAACAATAATTTCAGGGCAGAGGCTCGTCATTTATCTTCGTCTCTCTGGTGAATGGTACGCCATAAATAATCTTTAAATGGAGAGATGCATCGATCTACACAAGAGACAAAGGGAAGTGGGCCTAGAGGCCTTTCTGTTTGTAAGCTGGGGTACCTTAGAGCTCAGTGGATGCCCTGAGAGGCCATCTCACTGGGCCCACTGTCTTTAAGCACAATAACTGCCACAGAGGGAGTGAGGGGGCAGAGCAATGAGCCTCACAGGACAGGGACAGATGGACGGGTCCCCTGTATTGGCTGGGCTTCTCTCTGGTCTCAGGCTTCACTGTCTAATACAGCAGCCACTAGCCACATGTGGCTATTTAAATGAATAAAGAGGAAATCAAATTATAAAGTCAACTCTGTAGCTGCTCTAGCCATATTTCAAGTACTCAATAGCCACACCTATCACTGCAGAAAATTCTACTGGACAGCTGGTCAGAGGGCACAGATCTATGGCTGGGTATGGCTAGATGCTCCACGTCCCCTCCCCTCCGCACCCTGCCCTGTTTCCTAGCCAATGGCAGCCTCCTGCTCTTTGCTACGACCCGAGGCTATAGGAAAATGATGGGTCTGCTGCTCACTGTTTAAAAAACCATAGGGCATGTCTCAG